GGGGGCGGGGGGCTCTCAAGGGACGTAGTGTTTCTGCCCCCAGTCTGCCCTCCCCTCTGTCCTCGGCGGCGGCGCCACCACTGCCGCCGCTTTACATTGTCCCTTTTAGTTTTTTCTTTATTTTCATTTGGCCTCGGCAGTCAAGCACTCGCAGCCCCCTCCCCTTTTCTCTTTGACCTACTGTTATTGTTTCCCTCCCAGAGGCCCCCGCCCGTCCCCTCCGTGAGGGTTCCCTGGGAGTATCCCCCATGAGGATTGAGGATCCCCCTTGAGGATCGCCTGTGCTCGTGAGGGCCTCCCGGGAGGGATCGTGATACATTTCTTGAGTTGGCTGCCACGGACGAGTGTCTGCCGAACCGCCGGGTACCTCCAGGTAACTTTTAGTTGCACCTGCAAATACCTGTTAAAAGCTTGCAAGTGTTAAATAGAGTTGTTGGACTTGTTACCAAGAGCGCCCAGTTGCTTGCTTGGCTTGGGCGCTGTCCATGCGAAGTGTCTTGTTGCACACTTTGCAAGTGCACAACAACTCTATAAAAATCTTGCAAGTGTTTAACTAATATTTGCACACTTGCAGTGTGTCAAAGAGTTGAACACTTGTTTTATCATAGTTGTAGAGAACATATTAGAACATTTGACTCAGTATAACCTACTGAGTGAAGTGGAAACAAAATGTACTTCCCCAAACAGTAAACAAGTGCGCTTTAGAAATATTTTTTAACCCAACGTTGTGGACTACTTAATTGAATTGATGATGAATTGAATTGATGACTTTCATAATCATCGAAGACGCGATAGAAGACGTAGGACGTGTCTGTGTCCCGCATTGGGTTGTAGCGCCCCAGATAGAGCGCGGCATTGATAGGTGGTTGAGTGCATCCAGGGACCGTGTAAAAACACACCAACTCAGAGGCTGGTGTGGCGACGGGAAGCGACTTGGTTCGTGTTGGTTCGTGTCAAAGTGGCTCTCCTAGCGTCTGAAGACATTGAAGTGAGCACGATTCTTCCCTCTAGGAAGTATGTAAACCGACCGGTGCTCTCTCTAGGCCTTGCCGACAGGTGGCGCGCTGCGGCCGGGCCGGGCCGGATAACGCCGTGCGCCACTGGCGAGACTGTGCCGAACGCATCGGTGCGGGCAGGCTGCCTATAGTCACCAACTGCGGCGATTCTGGCGGCTCTCGCAGGCCACGCAGGCTGTGACGCACAAACGTTTCGTCGTAGCCGGATAGTGCGAGAGGGGGGGGGGGGGGGAGGGGGGTATCGAAATGCGTGCCATATGTGAGTGAGTGCGCGCTCCTGTGTGTGTGCGAGAGAGAGCGACAGAGCGCTCGCAGAGCAGCGCTATTAGTATTTGGCATGCCGGGGTGCGGTTGCAGGCACTTCGCGCGCTTTGATGTTTCCTGCATTCGATCAAGTTACTCCCCGGTCTGACCTGGTCTGGCCCAGTGTGGCCCAGTCTAGCCCGGTCTGACCCAGAGTGCCTCGTTACCTCTACCAAAATTACCTCTACCGTATTTTTTATTAATGGTTTTACTCCTGATGGAAGAAAAAAAATTACCCCTAACAAAAAAAAATATCCATTATAACCATTGATAATACCATTCAATAAAAATATTAAATGAAAATATTCAATAAATATTCCAAAACAGTTGGGGACACAGGCCGAAGATCGAATAAGCGAAGTCGGGCACGTAAATCCCAATTTATTTTACGTAACGGACGGGAGTGCCGCCGTTTGTTTTTCTTCTCTTTCCTCTTTTAATTAAGTGCACTTTGCTGTGCGCCCCTCATTTATTGGGGAAGGCGAGTTTGCCTTTGAGACGTTTTTTATTTTATTCTTTCTCACTTTGTCGGTTAACGACGACGGAGCAGCGTGGGCTTCGATGGTCGCTCTTTTGCATACTTTGAAAGAAAGCGTTTGGTCGCGAGTAACTTACCGGTGCGTTAAACAAAACTCCGAAAAATGTGTGGATGCGAAGAATAAGAAGAGAGACAAGGGAGACGTGAAACATAAAATTAATTTTGTACCATGGAGTAAACTCATTCTTTATCACCCTTGTTCAGGTGGGATCGTCCAGAAAGTTCGTCCGTCACATGCGGCTACGAAATTGCCAAGCTAGCCTGTGCAAGGTCCCATAGCGCCTGGTAGCTAGGCAATATCTTGCCTGGAGTGCATACGTGTACTGCGGGCTGGCCGACCCTGAGTCTCGCAGGCGCGAACGCCAAGCTGGCAGAATTTGACGAATGATCGATTGAATCTGAGAAATAGTTCCACCTTCCAGACGATCCCTAGGATAAACTGGTGCTGTTCTCCAGTGCATGTGTTAAACTCTTTTCGGCGTCAGCGTCACCAAACTTACACAGCACGGGCGAACGGGTAAACACTTTTCGTTTGTAAACAAGCGCTGATGACAGGTTGTGGCGGAGCTGTGCCGGTGGATGCAGCAGCTGAGCGCGCCGGACCCCGAGCGCGCCGCGCTCTCGTGCGAGGACGTGAGGAAGCTGTTCGACATTAACCTGGAGGGCCCCGCGGCGCGGGCGCTCGCCGTCGACGTGAAGGAGCTGGGCTGCGTGCCGCCCGCCGTGGCGGAGGACACGAACGCGCCGCAGGTGAGCAGCTTGGGGGAGTGACCCGGTAGGCGATTGAGGGCGCTGGCTGACGCATCGTCTGCAGCAGTCCGTGCTGGCCCGGGTGCGCGCCGGGGTGCGCGCCGACCTCCGTGCCGAGCTCCGCGCCGCGGCCCGGCCCCTCAGCACGCACGCGTTTGGGCGCAGCATCCCCGTCGGGGACCCCGGCCGCTGGCGCGCCTCCAAAAGCGACACGTGCGAGCGCTGGCGCCAGGACCGCGTCCCCACCGAGCTGGTCACCATGGAGGAGATCTTCGGCGGCGTCACGCACCTCAAGTCGGTATCCCGTATCCTACTCTGTCCTGCCTATTTGAGCTTCTTTTGTGTTGTCCTGACGTTGGCGCTCGCCTCAGGGTCACGAGGGACTTCGTGGACTACCTGCGGCACAAGAGGACCCCGCTGCCGCCGTGCCTGCGCTCCGGGCAGCTCGGCGCCGCCGCCGTGGGGGCGGCGGGGGCGGGGCGCAGCGGGGCGCGACACCTCGGCGGCCGCTAGCGCGGGAGCGGGGGACTTGACGACCACGTTTGTGAAAGCTGCAGTGAAGCGGGGAACACGTGAACGAATAAAAAGACGTCATCAACTGAACTACAAACGGTTTTTGTTTAACTCTGGGTAAATTATTTCTGGGTTCTCTCTTGGCATTGGATTTGGACCGTAATGGATCGTAGGTTGCATGAGTTTTCGCTTACAATTGGTCTAAGTTGATATTTAGTGGTATGTCACACTGAAAAAAAGCCCTAATCTTAAATAATCAAGTACTCGGGAAAAACAAATCTGCCGTGAAGGGATAAGTCAACTTATCTCCATGACCTTTAATTGATCAGCGTCCAAGATGATTTGGGGGAGTTGGTTTTCAGTGCAAGTTAACTTCTCCGGATGACTTCAGAAACTTCCTATTCCAGGTGGCTGATTCACGCCGCGCACTTTTGTACTATGCAACCCGCCCGCACGGCTCCATCCAGGACTGCATACCCACCAGGCGCAGGGGACCGGCTCCAAGCGCCAACGCGTCACTCCACCTCTGTTGTTGCAGCCAACGACACCAAGGGGCGTTACAAATGGGTTGTTCGCGGTTTTGTACGGGTTCCTGCGGGTTCCCGCGAGTCAGCGGAGGTAATTCGCAAGGTCTGCGGGGGTGACTCGTGGGTCCACGGGGGTAGTTCGCGGACTGCGGAACCTTGCCACGGGGGTTGCTCGCGGTCCGCGGATCGTGCTAAGGGGGTAGCTCGCAGTCCGCGGTTGCGACTAACTATCCCCGTGGAACCGAGTAAGGAGTCAGGAATCGGTCGCTACGTCAAATAAAACGAGCAAGCGCCTCCGGAAACGTTACACAAATTGTGTTCGATCTGTCGCGAGGGATCATTTTTTGGGCGCCTGCTCCTCCTGGACAGGCGTGGGCAGGGAGGCTGAACGTACGACGAGGGACCAGGTGGCCCGCCCTCGCTGACAAGGGGACAGGCAAGTGTAAATTCCGGATCGTGCCCAAACTCGGTATAATTGCTTATTATCTATGTAGGTGATGAATACCGACCAAATTTTTTACTGAATGTCATATGCCGAAACCCCCTATAAAAGCGTGTAATTTCGAAAGATACACATTTCTACTGTTTTACAAATACAATGTGATATTGTGTGACTCGAAATGAGCGTGCTTTCTTTTTTTTTTGGGGGGG